TCCCTCATTTCTCTTTCTCTTCCCCTCTGGCTTTCCGTCTTTGGATCTCTCGCACGTCCCTTCCTCTTCCTCCTAGCTTTCTCTTTCTTTCTTTCTCTCACACTTTTTTTTATCTCTTTCTTTCTCGTTTCCTTTGTCCTTCCTCCGCGACGGAGTCGTTGCTTTTTTACACCCTGATCCTTCTATCGTCTAGGCGACTCTCGCGAGCGACTTTGGTTAATGCCGGTGCATCCATCACCGCCGCGTCACACAGTCGAGTGTCGAAGGCACACGGAGAGTTGTGCAACCAGCCTGAGGAAGTTCATGGTTCGTTCGCTTGAAGATTCGGTGTGTTCGTTCATCTGGAATTGTTCATATTTTTTTCAGGTAACTGGAGAACTTGTCAGATTTGACTAGGGTGAATTCGGTACCTGTTTCTACACACGCTGAATCTTTTGTAATATCTGCAGAAAATAGGAGCCGCTTGTCAGCTAAATAGTTTTCTGTTGAGACAGAGGTTCTCTGGTCATTAACACCTCCAAAGTCTCTCGAATGAAAATTCTCCGGACATCTGGAATAAATTCTGAAACCGATGAAAAATTGTCGAAGTTAATCTGCAGTATCGTTGAAACGAAGAGAATAAAAAAGAGAAAGAAATTGAACAAGGGAGGAGGTTCCGTTGATATCATGTACGTTTTAAAAATCAAGTGCATCGACACATTCGGCGAGTCATTCACGATGATCGAAGACTTAACGCTTGCAATGTCAGCGTTTTATTGGTCGTGTGAGATTTTCTTCCTTTCTTTTTTTTTCTTCTTCGTCCAATGACGCGCACGGCTCGACGAACGTGTACGCTCGTCGATAATAAATTATGCAAGTCCGCGGCGACAAGAGTTGGACCTCGTCATTGGCCATGAGCCCCGGAAGATCGTGGCCGCGATTGGCGGTAAGCCAAAGGTCGTTTTTCGCGAGGACCCGCGATAAACTTTCGTCCACAGCGTGGAGCATTGTCGCGCGAATTAGCGCGACTTTTCAATTTTTCCGCTGGCTACACATCCATAGTAGGAGCCGCCTTCTTCCACGTGGAAATGGATCACCAGAACCGACGATTCTCACTTATTTCCGTCGAATATTTTATCCGCAGAAGCTCAGCTGAAACGGAAGTGTCCGGGTTCTCACGGATCTCTTCACCAAATTATCCTCCATTATCGCATTTATCTATAATACAACAGGTGTAACATTTTACAATACGAACTCGAGTGAATTGTTTGGTAAATTATCGATGAGACTAGGAGTAAAATTCGATGGGAATATCAGACGTACGATACCTGTACTTTCCATTGGATGGGGAAATTTACGCTTTTTTCTTTTGCCAAGCGTATAATTCGTACTTTATATTATAAAGAAGAACATGTGGTAACGATTCAAATTTATCGTTGCTTCTTTCACAGGGGAAGGGTTACCTAATATTTAAAAATATCCTTAATTTTGAGAATACAGTTGAGATTAAAACTAAGATTAAAATGAAAATTACACTGTTTAACAAGAACAGTGTTCGAAGCAGTACACAAACAATATTTCACTAGAAACCCTCAAAACCCTAAGATTATCAGCTAAATTACAAAAGAAGAAAGGACGTGTTCATTGCTAAATAACGATAAAAAGAAAAATCATGAAAGAAAAGGATTGAAAATTATGAGTAACAAGATCCTCCAGATCTCCTCCAACAATTGTAAATTCCTGAAGGCGCCATGCGGCAACGAGTCTCTCCCTGGAGCGAGCTATAAAACACAGGTAACAATTAGACGTATCCATAGGGTCTTAAAGCTCGAAGACTGGCAATAAAAAGATGAATGACTGGGCCATCGTAAACACCGGAGGACCTTATAACTCAGGTGGGGACCTCACAAGTGAAACGCATTAAATAGCAAGGTGGGGAGGGCGAACGTTGCCACGTAGACGTAGAGGATTTGGAGATTTATGCTCATCCATCGGCACCGCTTGAGTGGCCTCCTTGAGGAACGGGATCACCACCAGGGCAATTAATTGGCGGGAACGAAGAAGTGGCAGTGAAAAGCCGCCAGTGGTTTCCACCTATTGTACTCCTTGTGGTTATGACTCGGTGCCGTAGGACAGGGTTTCTCTGTGAAAGATAGAAGGGGAAAGGAGAAGGTTGGAAAAAGAGAAGGAGGAAGAGGAGAAAGGAAGGAAGGCTCGTGGTCGAGAGGTGAGAGTCCGTAAGTGAGTAGGTAGGTTCTTGGGGCACTCGATTGTTCGATCCTCGAGGGTTCGTGGATGAGCCCACCGAGTCTCTGTATGCAAGCCTCTGAGTACCATAAAGAATCGTCTTGAACGAAAGTCATCCCCCTACTGATTTCGAATTGCCTCGTAAAATTCGGTTCGCGACTATATCGAGCTTCTGTTTAGGTGATCGTTTCGGTACTTTCCCTCACGTGTTGTAAATTCTCCTCTTCTTCTCTGCGAGGATTGTTTCAACATGGAAGAGTATACCCTGTGGGAAGAAAAGGAGAGGAA